ATTTAGATAAAATCGCCGTGTACCGTGCTTTGTCGTGTGTGCATATACATATATATTTATATATATACATTTCTATATATATATGTATATATTTTTGTTGATTGCGTAACGCCCTGACGTATGCCGAATGCAACTTCATTATGGCGCCCGAAAAGCGGCACCAATTGGCGGCATGTAAATGGTGCGCCGCCTCATAATAGATACATTTGAGGTGTTCAACGTCACCTCCTCCCTCATCCCCTGGAGACTTTGAGGTTGACATCAAATGAGCTTGTAAGTGAGAAGAGGGCCGGGAGACCGAGATTTATGCGATGCACTCCACATAAGCCACATAAATCTCAATGTGGCGCTGCAAATTGGAAGGCCCTGGGGGGAATCACACGGTGTATGTGTGATAAGACTTTAATGAGATTTAGGGGGGAACTTTATTGACTCTGCTCATCAAGGATTTATTTATTTTAATGTTTTTAAATGATGTAGAAAACATTTTTTCGTTTATTAAAACAACACAAAAGAAAATATCTTAATATTTGTGTAAGGTATTTATGGGTTAAAAGGGAGCTCATATTAAATGGTTTTATCTTTATAAAAGTTGAAAGGATTTCAAGAATGTTTAATAGATTAATGTTTAAAATTTTGTAGGGAATGATTTTGTAGAGGATTATTTTGTGGGTTATTTCTTGATGTTCGTAGGAAAGCTCTTACAGCATTTATAAGCTTGAAATTGGCCCATATAGTTAATAGTTACTTAGTTTATATTTCAACATTTTTACGTTTATTTATGAACTATTTTTAAATAAATGCATCTTTTACATACAAAAACTGAACCCCTGGCAGTACTTTTAAATTAGTTTCCCTGATTAATGCGATTTATCTTATCTACTTAAACTTTTCACTAATGCCATCAAGTTCTTAATCCGATTTAGGATCCCTGACCCTTGTTGCTTACTTGGGAGAGATGGAAACTTTATCCGCGAGCGCTGAACAATAAGCAATTAAATTAAATCCACACTTCTTTGTGTATACTGTAAGAGATTTCCATAAAAACTCGTGGGCAAAAATGCTTTTAATGAAATGAGCATTAAGTTTATTGAGCGAACGAGCTAACTTACCTGACCGGGAGTTATGTTTAACTTTTGCTGGGGAAATCAAAAACTTTTACTCTAACAATGAATCAGGAACCTGAACGCTGAAAAGGGCAACAGAGAGCCTGCTGCGTGACCACGACCACACAAGCACACAAAAGAAGGATTTTATTTAGGCATAAACGTAATTTTTTAATCTCTCTTGGGCAACCACTCGAACCCACATAAGTGGGAATATCGGGTAAGGGAGAGTGGGAGTGGGAGTGGGAGTGGGGCCGACCTTTTATAACCTTCAAATGAGCAGGCAGTTTTGGGGCCCATATTCTCCAGCCAAATAACAATTTAATTATGAACATACTCAGGCTCTGCCTCTGGTCCCTCTCTCCCTCTATCCCAATCTCTTTCTACCAAATCCAAGGACAAATTATAGCCATAAAGCCAGCGTCGCCAGCAGCGCCGGCCTCCTTTTGCCTGTGGGATAGGCTAAGAGCTCATTAATGTCACATTCATGGCAACTCCGGAAAGAGCATAAAACGAGCAAAAATTCTATCAGAGTATCCCCCAGACTGGGACCTGGCTGAAACCCAGGCCGAAACTCCATTTAAATTGAGTGCACACAACAAATTGTTGGGTATGTGTGTGGCCGTTTTGTGGGCCTGTAAGGCAATTAACGTGAGTTCCCTCCCTCTTCAAGCTGCAGTAAAATAATCAAAATTAGCCAAAATCGCCACTGCCGTTTTGGGCCTTTTTTGGGATGAAATTTATTCGGCAGGATTTTGTGTGATAAAAGTCTTGTATATAAAATATACTGTTGAGGGAATAAGTAATGTAGTTAATAAGAGGATGCTACAAAAAATAGTGCTTAATTGTTAGAGATATTACAAGCATTTAATTCTAAAAAACAGGTTAGTTTTTTGCTTAGCAACAATAATAAACTTACAAGAAGTCTCTCTCTGATATTACTTAATTGTTATCAGTGAAAAAATATCCTCTCTCGTTCGCTACAGAGTGGTAGAGAGCAAGAGCAAGAGAACATAAACTGCTCTCCCAGTTGAATCGGCTCTCCCGGCAACCGGTATTTTGCGGTCGCCGAGTAAAACAAAACCCCCTCTTAGAAACCCTGTTATTATTATTATAATAATTTAATTATTTTCTTCGTAACATAGGAAAAACACCACAACTCAAAACAATGAAAGTTCACCAAGTAACAGACTTTGCCTTTGAAGTCCTGATCGTTCTTCACTTCCTTAGAGCTTCGACCTGCTGTGGCTGGTTCTCTGTTTACCCCGTCGCTCTAATTAAATTTGATATGCATATTGCCGGGGCATTTGAAGTGGCCAGACACGAGGTCGAGAAAGCTTGTGGTTGTCGGCGGGGGCCCGCCTCTATATATGGGTAATAAATTTGATTAGTAGGATTTACGGGCTCTCGGGTCGACGCCAAACGCTTTTCTTGCTGCAGTAAATTTTATGCTAAACAGCAGTTGAAAAATGGGTGGAAAGGCAGGGTTTGTCAGGGGTTTTCTCTGTGCTTTCCTATTATGGTTTACTGTTCTGTGTCTTTAACGTTGAACGAGTTGTTACAATAAATTGTTTATTGCATACTCTTGGGGCTTTCCTTAGACATATTTACTCTACACATTTTGCGAAACATTAAAGTAAAAGTACAAGGTATCCCCAAGCAAAAATAAAGACTCCCTTTGAGCAAGGGCTTACAGTTGCCAAAGGACTGCCAAAAAGTATGCAGCACATGAGCGGCGACCCCATCATTAACATCATTATCGGTGGGGGTCCATAGTAGCGACGAACCGCAACAGAAAACCAGAAGAAAAATCACCAAAAATGATGCCAAGGCCCAGGGGCCGATATTATGCGATAAAGCCAGAACACACACACACACCCACACACACCCATAGAACGTGAAGTGAAGTTGAGATGGCCAGGCAATGTCCCTTTTTATCCCACTGTGTGACGCTGCCTTTTTGCGGCTTTCAGCCGCACAGCATGCTGCCATTTTGCTGACTGCCGAAAACTCAAAATGAAATGCAGTCAACGCCCTCACTTCCGACAATCCCGCACAACCGCATTTCCTCCTATTTTGCACTAAGAAAAAAAAACTATGGTTAAGAGATACAACTTCCTAGAAAAGAAATATAGTTTCTGAAAATAAGAGAAAGAACTAATGCGATTTATAAAGAATTTTTAAGTAGTATGAACTATATAACACTTTTCTTAGTACTTTAAAATTGTTTAATACAAATGTTTATCATAATAAATGTTTGTAAATATTAAAATATTTCATTCATAACTATATTATTATTATTAAATACACGTTTTTTTGATTTATTATTATAAAATTATATTTACTATAAACTAAGTAAGCCCTTATCTTATATTAAAAATCAAATAATATGAAATCAAATCAACTAATGGAAATTAAAAATTTTATTTTAAACCTTAATAAAATTTTTAAAATTATTTATTATATTGTGATAATTTTTTTAATGGATTTATCCTTATTTTAAATAATAAAACTCGCATTTTTATAGCCGTGTCTGTCGGCTCTTCAGTTAAATTATGCGCATTGGGCTTCCTTGGGGTTCTGAAATTATTTCACTCTCTAGCTCATGTCGGCTGACGTAGATTCACCGCCCCATCACAGCTTCGTTCCCTTTGTGACTCTGTTTGCAGGCAAAAATGAAAAGAGATTTTTTTATAACGTTTGCATGCCAAAGACGAGGCTTAAAAAAAAGGTCTAAAAACGACAGAAAGTGCATTTTGATGATTGGCGTGCTGGTGGGACATAAATCTACATTTCCAATTGCAGCCTCAATCAATTGAGGCGAATATTTAAATGGCCTGTGCACAAAGGCCTTTTGAAATTTATTCCTAATAATAAACGGAAATTTTAGGTGAACGCTATTTTTCAACGAATATTTTAGTTGGTCGAAAAATTCCCCAAAAATAACTAAATATACGAAGTGGGAAAATAATCATAATAAAAAGTTGATTTTAAAAGGAAAAATAAATATGATTGGAGCTAATTTTATGGATTGAAAAAAAGCTAAGAGCTTTGTGTTAATATTAATATATTTTTTTTATTTTTTCATTGCAGGTAAGCCTCTACTATGAAGTTATGACTGACCCCATATTTTAATTAAGTAAGTTTGTATGTTTTTCCTTAAAAACTCACTTGGTTTTGTGCATATTTCTATAATTATGTTTGTTTTTTTCAGGGCGCATATAAAACTTATAATTGGAAATTATGACAAATATCTCATGTTTTTTCTGCTTTTAATGCAACTGATTTAATAACAATGAACCTACACTTAGTATATATTTTATAACCAGCTGGAAAGTAAACAAATTGGGATTTATGTGAGCCTTAATAAGACTTATTTCGATGCTCGAATTATCTGAACACAATCAAATTACAATTTTCGCTGGCGAACGAAATTAAACCATGTCATTAACATATTCGCAGAGTTTTAAATGAGAATATCGCATTAATTATTATCAATTTTCAAAGTGTATGTACTGGCAGAGTGAGAAAATAAACGAAAATTTTAAAAATTCAGCTCTTGGAAAATGCTAATAAATCAATGCAAAATGCCATAAGCGAAAAAGAGGGGCAAAATTAAAATCATTGGACGTCGGTGGCGGCATTAACATAACAGTTATGTGCATATTAAGTGTACATTATGTTCCTTAATCCAGACAATAAAGCAGCCACAGCAAATAAATGAGAATTTTACAACAAATCAATGGACTGCAACCAACCGTTTTGGGCCTTGAATATGGAATACATATGGCCAGGCATTAATGAAATGAAATGTTAATGCCCCACCGACAGATGTTCAATGGAGATTGCCATATTCGTGCAATCGGAATTAGGTCAGAGATTAAATCCGAAATATGCCGTATAGATTAGTGTGGGAATTTTATTTTCAAATAGGTAATTATTGATAAGGCAACACGCCCATGTGCTATTTCCATCAAATATTCCAAAATTGTTCATCCAGTTGTGAGGTTTCCATCTTATTTTCCGCCATGGACATTGCACACGCGACAGTCGCCATTGATGATGACATTGCCAGGATTGAGGGGAGTGGCTATTTGAATAGATTAAATTGATTGTTAACTTGCAATCACTGATATTATATTGATTATAAATATATATATTTACCGCTAGCCAGAGCCAGGAGGCCGAGCAGGAAGGCAACCGAGAGGAATTTCATCTTTGTATTAGCTGAACAGAAGCGAGAACTGAACTGATGCCTCAGCCAGAGTCATCCCGCCGCTTATATAGCTCAGAGATCAGTCGATGTTATCAGCGATGTGTTTTTGCTTTCGGGGCAAAACCGCATTATTGATTTTTACGTTTGGCATTACCCTACGCTGTTTTGTGAAAATCCCATCACCACCGGCACCGGTCTCCCGGGTCTATATCTCTCGGTCCCTCGCGATTTCAGGTTCAATTAACTGCAGTTAATTGCACTTGAACACGGCTGCATGCGTCTGGTGTCTCTTCTGGAGAAATTTAGAACTCGTTTGCTAAGCGCGTTTGATTGACAAGCGTTCCAGGCAATCGTAAAATCCAATACCTCGCATTTGGTTGGATATCAAGAAATACGTCATAGCTCGTGCTCAGTGCTAGGGAACAGGTTTTTTTTATTCTTACGATGGTTCTTTAGCTCGAATTGAATTTGTATTTGTCTGTAGATTTTTATTATGTGTCTCTTGGAAATATAAATATTCTAATGTTGGAAGTTGATAAGGCTTAAAAAGCGATTATTATGCATTTTTAAGCTGGTATTTAAATTAATATTAATAGACTGTAGAGTTAAGAGTTTGAATTTAATTTTAAATTATTGATAGGCCTTTACTTATGCCAAATAATATTGAAATTTGGTTGCAGTTTAGATGTTTTTATCTTATTTAATTTAATTTAAGTCGAGAAAAAAGGAAAGAAAGCTAAAGATGTTAATGAGATACCAGTTTAATCCAGGCAAAAAGAACAAGTCACGTATTTGTTTAAATTATTTTGAATGAGTTTGATTTGATTTGAGCTTTTCTTGTTTATTTTTCATGTATTTGTATGAATTGATGTATTCAAATGACAAAATTTAGCCTGTTAATTGTAAATAGAGCAAATTTCGGAGTTTTAAGATATCGGTAAACATATTTAAAACAAGAACGAAAGCTAACTTTGGCCAGCCAAAGTTTGTATACCCTTGCAGGTAACAATTAAAATATATCATAACTAAGCCAAAAATGCATTAATTTCCATTCGGAAAGCAGTTTTGTGTTAGTTTTTATTCATTAAAAATAACTGCATACCAAATTTAAAATTTTAAGAAATCAAAATTTTTGGCCATTTTTGCTAATTTCAATGATGTAACCCCTTATCAAATTTCGCAAAAATGGCCAAGAAATCGATTTCTTCCGGACATGTCTAGAAAGATTCGCATGTTAATGCTGATCAAGAATATATATGGTTTATGGGGTCGGAAATGATTCCTTGACTTAGAAAAATATTATTTTTATACCCTTGCAGGGTATTATAATTTCAGTCAGAAGTTTGCAACGCAGTGAAGGAGACGTTTCCGACCCTATAAAGTATACATATTCTTGATCAGCATCAAAGGATAAAATGAACATTTATTTTACTAATAAAATTAACACTTTTAACACAAATTAAATAAGTAATTTATTCCACAGATAATATTTTCATTTATCCTATAGTAAAAATTTTCTCACTGAACTTATTACTCGTACTTTTCGTGATTTTTATACCCTTGCAGGGTATTATAATTTCTATCAGAAGTTTGCAACGGAGTGAAGGAGACGTTTCCGACCCTATATCCTTGATCAGCATCAACAGGGGAATCTTTCTAGATATGTCAGGAAGAAATCGATTTTTTGGCCATTTTTTCAAAATTTTATAAGGGGTTACATCATTAAAATTTTTGATTTTGACAAAAAATTGAATTTTCAAAATTTTTAAATGAAGAATGCGTATTTATTAACTATAGAAAATCTTGCACAGAACAGTTTTCCGATTTAAAATTAATGCTCTTTTGGCCGAGTTATGATATTTTTAATTTAAAAAAAAAATCAAGAAGTTTTTTAATATAAAAAATCCGATTTTATAATACAAAATAATATTTTTCTAAGTCAAGGAATCATTTCCGACCCCATAAACCATATATATTCTTGATCAGCATTAACAGGCGCATCTTTCTGGCCAAGTCCGGAAGAAAACAATTTTTGATTAATTTTTTCAAAATTTTATAAAATTCGCAAAATTTGATAAAATTTTCAATTTCTAACTAAGTATGCAGATTTGTTAACCTTATAAAAACTAACATAACTCCGCTTTCCGAATGCAAATTACGGCATTTTTGACAGAGTTATGCCTTTTTTAGTTTTTAATTTTCTGTTTTTCTCATTTCTAATGTAATTTTTAACATCATTTTCTGAATTTTTAAATTTTTTTCTAAATTTTTAAAAATTTTCCTGAATTCTTAAAATTTTTTCTAATATTTTAACTTTTTTTTTAGATTTTTAAAATTTTTTTAGAATTAAAAAAAATTTTTTTAATATTTTAACTGCCAAATTTGAATTTGAATTAAACTGCCAAATTTGAATTTGAATTTAACGACAGGTGCCCAGGTGCAGTTGTAAAATAACACCTAAATTTGGATTCAAACGGTTTGAGTCTCCGCTTACTTGCGCCGACTGTTAAATGGTTCGAAACTTGGACTTTTTATAACAGTTTATACCAGTTTTCAGTTGCTTGCTGCTTGAAAGCGGCCAATTTGAATGAAAAATTTTGCTACTTGCATCAGTGATGCTCACTTCCATCAGAGATGCTCACTTCCATCAGTGATGCTCACTTCCATCAGTGATGCTCACTTCCATCAGTGATGCTCACTTCCATCAGAGATGCTCACTTCCATCAGTGATGCTCACTTCCATCAGTGATGCTCACTTCCATCAGTGATGCTCACTTCCATCAGTGATGCTCACTTCCATCAGTGATGCTCACTTCCATCAGTGATGCTCACTTCCATCAGTGATGCTCACTTCCATCAGTGATGCTCACTTCCATCAGTGATGCTCACTTCCATCAGTGATGCTCACTTCCATCAGTGATGCTCACTTCCACCAGTGATGCTCACTTCCATCAGTGATGCTCATCACTGGCAGCTAGTGAGATGCAATTTTCTACCAATAATGCAAAAAAATAGCTAGATGAGCATCACTGATGCACATGCGCATCACTGCCATTAAGCCCGATTTTATTGCCCTCCAATATTGAAATATAGCCAGATGAGCATCACTGATGCAGATGAGCATCACTCATGCAAGTGAGCAAAAATTTCCATCCAATTTGGCCGTTGCCCAAACTGGGGTAACAGGCGAACAGAAATCAGCAGCAAGCAACTGAAAACTGGTATAAACTGTTATAAAAACTTTTGGGCAAAAATAATAATTGGTATAAACTGTTATATTTCATTTTATGCATTTATACCTATTTGTTGACGACAACAACAGCTTGATGGCAACAACAACCTTTTTACAACAACATCCCTACAGCAGCCAATCCAAATTTCCGAACATTTCCATGCAAATTGCCCGTTTCCCAAATTGGGGTAACAGGCGAACAGAAATCAGCAGCAAGCAACTGAAAACTGGTATAAACTGTTATAAAAAGTCCAAGTTTCGAACCATTTAACAGTCGGCGCAAGTAAGCGGAGACTCAAACCTTTTGAATCCAAATTTAGGCGTTATTTTACAACTGCACCTGGGCACACTGAAACTGATCGTCGTTAAATTCAAATTCAAATTTGGCAGTTTAATTCAAATTCAAATTTGGCAGTTAAAATATTAAAAAAAATTTTTTAATTCTAAAAAAATTTTAAAAATCTAAAAAAAAAGTTTAAATATTAGAAAAAAATTTTAAGAATTCAGGAAAATTTTTAAAAATTTAGAAAAAAATTTAAAAATTCAGAAAATGATGTTAAAAATTACATTAGAAATGAGAAAAACAGAAAATTAAAAACTAAAAAAGGCATAACTCTGTCAAAAATGCCGTAATTTGCATTCGGAAAGCGGAGTTATGTTAGTTTTTATAAGGTTAACAAATCTGCATATTTAGTTAGAAATTGAAAATTTTATCAAATTTTGCGAATTTTAATGATGTAACCCCTTATAAAATTTTGAAAAAATTGATCAAAAATTGTTTTCTTCCGGACTTGGCCAGAAAGATGCGCCTGTTAATGCTGATCAAGAATATATATGGTTTATGGGGTCGGAAATGACTCAATGCTTCAATGCGTAATGAGCGTCGGACTGGAAATAAAATACCCTGCAAGGGTATAAAAATTATAGCTTCGTTGTTTTTCAACGTATGTTTATCTACTCTCAGATATAAGCTTTTTTTTATTATTCTAGAATTTTGGTATAAATTTTATAAAAATCGGACAACTATATCATATAGCTGCCATAGAAGCGATCAGTAAATGTATAAAATATGTGAAGCTGGGAATGTAAAACTGAAACTGTCAAACTGTAAACATAATAAGTATAGGTAAAATTTAATGAAACTCTGTTTTGTGAGTGTTTTCAGCATTTAAATCTATAATCTAAACGTCGAATCCAATCTGCAAGGGTATACAAACTTCGGCGTGCCGAAGTTAGCTTCCTTTCTTGTTTGTATTATAATATCGGATTTTTTATATTTAAAAACTTGTTGATTATTTTTTTAATTAAAAATATCATAACTCGGCCAAAAGAGCATTAATTTTAAATCGGAAAACTGTTCTGTGCAAGATTTTCTATAGTTAATAAATCTGCATTCTTCATTTAAAAATTTTGAAAATTCAATTTTTTGTCAAAATCAAAAATTTTAATGATGTAACCCCTTATAAAATTTTGCAAAAATGGCAAAAAAATCGATTTCTTCCTGACATATCTAGAAAGATTTCCCTGTTGATGCTGATCAAGAATATATATACTTTATAGGGTCGGAAACGTCTCCTTCACTGCGTTGCAAACTTCTGACTGAAATTATAATACCCTGCAAGGGTATAAAGATCTGTCGTATATTTTTTCTTTGTAGTTTCGTTGGCCTGTTACACTATTATTTACTTAATTAAATTATTAACAGATCTTCTGAGCAGGGCCGTCAACATCAACTAAATATATATTTTTCTTATTTTGAACTTTAAATTGTTTGTTTCTTTTCATTTTAAAACGTTTATTCTCTGATTTAATTCACTTGCATTTTATTTTGTGCACACAATATACAA